CACGAGAAAGAACTGGATCCCCACGTGTGGCCTCACGGATTTGCGACACAGTGATTGGAGCTCGTTGCATTTTAACGCGGTTAACTTTATCAGCTTCGATGCTCCAATCATCCGGCTCTTCGACGGTCTTTCGTGGCAATCGAGACAGTGCGTCAGAGTTAGCATGATCCTTGGAAGCCCTGTATTCAATGTCATACTGATAGGGGGACAACTGAATAACTCAACGTTGCAGGCGGGACGTGGCCAGCACCGGAATACCACGCTTCGGACCAAGCAAAAACCCACAATTCCTCTATTCGCTCCGACGAAGGGCTAACGCTCGAAACGTCAGCTTTTGTAATCGTTACGGTGGCCAATTTACCATTTCAACTTTGTTGATATATCCAAATTATTTCGTTACTCCCTCCGACGCAGCCCCAAACAGTTTCTTTCGAAACTATAAGCCTAAAATCGTCTTTATGTTCGTTTTGTGTATGTGCCAATTAAATGTGAACTTAAAGTGGGAAAATTTACTTTACGTGTGGTTGTATTAAAAAATTATGATACCAATGCAGTTAATGTTAAATATCAAGCGTAGTATAAGTAGCTGTGTGGACAATGAGAAGCTTAACTTCTGAAAGAAAAATGAAATCGCCCTGAAAGAAAAATGTGCTCTCTAACATCTATTTAGTACTTACAGAGCTAAAGTTTATTTATTTATTTATTTATTTATTTACAAGATTTTCCGACAGGCAGGGACACCTCAACAGCTTTACGCCAATCACTGCGGGCCCAGTAACCCATCCATCTCACCTCAGGGGAGGACATCCACCACACAGTAATCTCGTGCGTGGGAAATTAACGTCTCCTACCCCCAACCCTGCAGGAGACGGGACCTCCATTTATTCGTCCTTATCCGAGAAGACTAGAATATCTAACCGTTTCTTGATATTATAGAAAGGCAGCATATTCTTCTCATTTATTTTAAGACCTCGAGTGTTGGTCCGGCCGGGGCTCGAACCCTCGACCTCCCGCAGAACAGTCCAGCGCTCTATCCATCTGGCGCAGTCCTAGCTTGGAAACTCAGTATCTAGAACTGAGAATCAATCTGAAGCACTATCGAATCCCTGAATTACTCCCAGACTTTGACTTTCTGCACTTTCTGTATATGCAGTTTGCATGTGAGGGTCACTCTATATCACTAATCATCAACAAGCCAAAGATGATGCGACTCGTACATTTTTTGGTTTTAACACCTATCTATTTTGTAATCATGTAGGATGAGAATAGATAATGTACGAAGGGCACCTGTTCAGTGAGGAAGCATGACAATACCGAGAATTACCAATTAAGGATAGAACGCTGATTTTTTTGTGCCTATGATTTACTACTTACCTGACTTCTTTGTTAATTTCTCCCCTTCGATCGAGACTGTCTTCTGTTGGGAAAAGAACATGGCGCATGTCTTGCCTGTTCACAGATGCAATCCGCTCGCACGCGCGATGTTCCATCTGTACTGGTAATCGATGGAATGTGAACTGGATGTCAAACTTCTTTCCTTTAATATAAGGCATTCTGAGGAGAAAAATACATGAGGTAATAACAAAAAAAAAATGCATCACTTACGACGTTTCGGAATATATGAGGCAAAAGAAATCTCTCCGCAGCACTATTCTCTTCCTGATTAGATCGTTCATGTCGAGGAAGAGGAATGTTTGGAACAATACACTCCTAGCCCCTGAGTGGCGACTTTCTGTAAACGGCCACCCACATCAGGTAGGGCTCTTCTTTCTCATCGAATACCTTCGCAGAAACCTTTTCACCACAGTCAGTAAGTCAGTTCTCTCCCAGTAAGTCGCTGCAGTTTTCAGTCTTGTGAAGTAAATTCGTATGTAACAACCATTCTCCTGCTGCATTGACCAGGTTGATAAAAGCTAAAGCAACTTATGCAAGACTCTGAGAACGATGATACTTTCTTACTATGTAGTTTGTTTAATGCACAACGTACTCGTTCATGTCAAAGCCAAGTTTCACATCCAGCATTTGAACTTTGTGAACGATTCCTTCGTATCGCCGCTTTAATTCACCTGGCTCGTAGGCATAGATCTTGTCACCGCGTAACACGGAAGGGCGATTTTCTGCAAGGCCAGGAACCTGAAAATCGCACACAAAAACAACAAATAAAACTCAAAATAAAGGAAAAATTTACCATGAAACATAAATCTTGTTAGTTAATAAATCTCTTCTCATGCGTTCCATGCATGCTTCTTTTACTCGGAAGGAAAATGATTGAAATTGAGTGGTCCAATAAAAAATGATGATAAATTCATCACGGCATCATAATGACACGTCAACTAAACATCCCGAATCGTGGAAGAGTATAAAGTCCCAGACCTCAGGGGTTTTCGAAAGCGATCAGTGAGACCAAAAGAAAGTCAGGCATTGGTGTTATTCTGGAAAAAAACGGCTTTTTGATGTAACATATTTCTATAAGAATATCCTCCCACCTCTAAGATCAGAAAGCGTCTGTCCCCTCTATCCTGTTGAAAAACAACTCCTTTCATATCATAGTTTCTGATGTCTTTCTGCATTTGAAATTCTTCCAAGTGAAGGAGCAGACAGAACTTTTCTTTGTAGTTGTCAAAACTTAACTTCTTCTTCAATCGCTCACTGAAAACAAGACAAGCATGTGAGCTGCAGATCATACATCCGCTTTCTTTTAAAGCACAAACTAGTCTTACCATAGTCCCTCTCGGATCTGATTGCTTTTGATGACCTGGGCTTTAACTGTAAAAGGGATTTCATAAATGTCCAGCTTCTCCATGACTAAGCCATTTCTCTGCATCCTAAAAAGCAAAGAAGATATTAGTAAAAAAATAAGTGACTTTCAATGTTTAAATAGCAAAACTGAGCCCATGAATTAATTCCACTGATTGACTTCGTTTTCTGCATGAAAGTCAGTAGGGTTGGAATCCCTATCTCGGTTTATGACTACTCACGTTATCTGATGAAACATATAGATTTGAGGAAAGTGTTATGAAAATTTTTGGAGATATTTTCCAATAAAGGAAAAAACACCCTAATGACAAGAGCGAGGAATTTTTGATTGTCAAAAACTAAACAACGTTGAGTAAAATTATTTGTAACCTGTCGCCTCGTTAAGAGATGCATCTAACAGACGCTTCATGTAACTAAAAAAATCCTTCGTCCGTTGTTCAACCTTGCGGTTTGGTTTGTTCATGACAAATAAAAATTGAAAAATGTGTGTGTGTGTGTGTGTGTGTGTGTGTGTGTGTGTGTGTGTGTGTTTGTTTTTTTAACTCATGCTAAATTTTTCAATGAATTAAGTATTTTAGTTTCACTTTCTCAGGCATTCAACATAGACGTATAGTGAAAAGAATATTAACAGAGACCGATAATTTCAAACAAATGATCAACAGGGCAGAAATTGCCACACACTACCGTGGAAGGGGTATCCCTCCAAATGTTTTAACATCCCTGGGAATTTCTGGTGCTCGAGGAGGAGGTCGATACTCTGAGGTCTGCTTCAAGTCATCGTACAAGTCACTCACGATACGCACGGACAAAAACCTCAGGATATGAAACTCCACCACGTCTTTGGTCTGAAATGTAAGCACACCAGGAACATACGAATAACCAAACTCCCGGCGACGTTTGCAGCCGATCCTGAACCTTTGCTGGCAACCTTTAAAGGATAAAGCCAATTGCTCAGGTCACTGTAGAGATATCCATAACCTTACGCAGTACTTTGAGCCCAGAAGTTGAGGAGTTTTCACAAAGTGATGGACTGCTCTCATTCGATTGAGTCCAAGGAAGTTGACCATATGTTGTCTAAACACAATAAATCTAATGCTTTCTAATGCTGAACTACCGTAAATAGAGCAGGTAGAATTGCATTAAGTTGAACCTTTGTATCAAGTTCACACCCCTTAATACGTTAGGTGTCACTGAGATAGGACAGTTAGTCTATGGGCATTAAGATTAGTGTCTTTTTTTAGCATTTAAGCAGCGACTTGAGGACAGTCTAAGACCATCTGAGACAAATGTTCCTCAACTTCTATTGCACACCATCTTAATCATATTAGGAATACTCTTAGCCATCCAGAAAGGACAGGATTTACTGACAAATATATACATTCATCAAAGGGACAACTCTCTCTTTATTGTAAACATATCTTCCTTTTCCAATATTTCTCAAATGTAAAACCAACAATTTATTTAAACTACCTAAGAGTTGTAGAGAGTAGGTCAGAATTTACCTGGGTAGAGTTGACCCTAATCAGGTCCAATACTGGATATTTCCCTGTAGTCAAAAAAGTTGACACTCCACAGCAGAGTGATGTCCTTCAGGGTGATGATCTCCTCACTGAGGTTCTCTATAATCAACATAATCTGCCCATATGTTCCACTCTCAACTTTCAATTCTATCACACCATGCTCATCTCCAGCTGGATCTGAAGTAACTCTTATCCCATTTTTGTCAAAGACAAGCTCTGGTCTGTGAACAAGACAGGAGAAATTCACAGTTAACTGGGAATTCTCTAAGAGTTTTTCAAGGTCTGCTGTTTGACTTTCCTGACAGATATCACCCCTTACCTTAAAAAAACTTTCCAAAAAAAAACATATCAAATTTGATCCACAATCTGATTTAATTCCACGATGTCTCGTAAATCTATATGGATTGAATAGTTAATAAAAGGGTGAAAAGGGGGTTTGTCATGACGGGAAAGCAGTTGGGGAAACTTACAACCCCGTACAAGGATCAGTTGTGGAAGAAACAATTTAAAATCATCTCCTAACACGTCCAATTTGTCCCTTTACATGTAAGCATTCTAGAAACCAAAACGAAACCTTAATCTTACCACTTCCAAGAAAGCAACCATTACTTATTCAGGCAGCTAGATGGAAATAATGAGGTGAATCAAACCATTCATTCTGTGGTGGAACAGAGAATTAACTCTGAAGCGTAAATTAAAGTGCTACGTGAAACCCGTGAAAAACCCACTGGGCGTTAGCCCTGGTAAAGGGTATTAGGGAACCACACGAGGTAAAGAAAAAATTCATATGACCTCAGCGGGAATCGAACCCACGACCTCCGGATTAGATCTACCGTTGCTCTACCTAGTAAGCTACGAGGTTGGACAGAGTAAGTCGGGGTCGATTAAGGAAGTGAATCTGTGGTTTGGTGAGTACTGCAATTAATTTTCCCTGATTCGCTTTACGAACGAAATAAATATTAACAAAGAGCAGAACTGTGGAATATTTTCGAATTATCTTGAAAAGGAAAGCACTTACTTTTTTAGTGATTTTCGAATCGTTACGAGGATATATTGTTGGCGATGTTTCAACCCTTCGATGTGTTTGCGGTAGGCCTCGCCATTTCCGAGATACCTTTTACAAGTTTCACAATACCAAGGCCTCAAACCCGAGGGCAAGCGGCAACTAAGGTCATCATCACTATCTCCCTGCTCCTCAGGATCGTCAGTCAGGAGTTGAAGGGCTGCGGCTTCTCCATCACCAAAGACAACACGATCTTGAATTTGCTGACAAGCATTTATGTGATACGTGAGTGTATTCAAAACTTTGGAGAATGGCATACTTAGCGTATGGTACAAAGGGCGAAATTCTCCTTGGTAAATTTGCCTCAAATCGTCAATAAACATGTCTTTTTTACGATTGTTGTCCTCCAGGAAGTTAAGAAACGTTTGGGCAATATATTTTTGCTGCTCAAGAGTTCTGCTCGACCTGGAGTGGTAAAGTACACTGGAAACGACTGCAATGGAAATGATCAAAACGTTTTTAAACAAAAGAGCTCTACAGTTGCGATTTACGCTGACATTTGATGTTCTTTAATCGAAATTAGAGTAAAACAAGAAATATGAGGTTTAAGCGGTCTAAGGCTGGCGACATCATACACGGGTACTGCCGGTGCAAGAATTCCAAAAAGCCTCAATGTTTAGTTTACTTTCGTTTCTCATTAAATTAACTTTCACTTGATGACTGAGTCATAAACCATCCGAAGAAGCACTTATTATTGAACTCAAAATGTTGTATTTTGTTAAGACTTAATAACAAAGTCTACTATCGCTCTTGAAACGTCTAAACTTGTCTGTAGAATTCCAAAATGAGAGCAGGGATATATAAACTCAAATCAAACTACTCACTAAGAATAATTAATCGGGTTATCATAACCGGCAGGCGAAAAAGCAGTAAAAGGTTTCGTTACAAAACAATGATCACATTACAAGAAATTTTAAAATCTTTCTCGACCTGCGATATTCGATGGATACAGTATTAGATGGTCGACGAAATTCTCCACTGATTCCAAAAATCTTTCTGCGACTCGGTTAAACGAAAGTGGGGAACGTTGCACCTGGGTTGCAAAATGTTTTAAGAAACTTTTTGAACACTTTTAATTTCTTTATTCTCTTTACATCGGCCGGTAGCACGAAACGAAGCCCGAAAAATCTCCAATGACTTCATTAATAGCTTACTGTATCCTTGGTATTTAAAGTGAACAACTGCACTAAAAATTACGAGGCTAATATCCAGCCATATTGACCGAAAAAGCTTGGTCAATTAAGGATTTACTATATAGCAAAACGATTTTGCGTTAATAAGAATCAAGAATGACTTGTTTACTTCAAGAGCCGGGAAACGAAGTTGATAAATTATTCACCGAGCTCGAGAGTAATGCTTCTCAGACCTTTCACAGACCTAAAGCCACGGGGAAATTAACTTAACTTGAGAAATAAGCTGCGAGCAATGAAGACTGGATACTGATACAGCTCTTTGATCGTCAAACTTTGGAAGCAAATAATTAATAGTCTGTGGCATCAACGTCCAGCCTTACGTCCAGGATTTTTTAACGTCTTCTACTCGCTTAGTAGAGTTGGGCCTTTCAGGTGAATTCGGTAAGTGTGACGTAACAGCTGGGAAAAGTTAAAAGGAGCTGAATTTCACTAGTAAGACTCAGTCCTTCAATGCCGTTGTTTGAGATGTCAACCGACACTTTCCTAGAGTAAGAGCAGTCCCTCCTATACAGCCAAGTCCGTAACGCGAGTTAAAAAAAATATATGAAAAAAATTTGAAGTTAACGTGCCACAAGGAGCTCATGGAGTGACGTCAACACGTCGCGGGAGCTCCATGAGTACTTGCGAGCGCTTCACTCGTGTAGCTCCCGCGGCGTATCGACGTAACTCCAAGAACTTACGCGGTACGTAAACATCACATTTTTTTAGTACCGATTTTTCCTTTTTTATTCGCTTGACGGACTTCTCTGAGGAGGGACTGCTCGCGGTCTAACATTCCAATGAAAGGAAGCGTTTAAGCACAACGTGACATCCAAAGAGCGGATCGGAAGAGGAAGAGATTTGGATTTTGTTTGACTGAGTAATTATCGCATGTTGGCAACTAACGTTCAACACCTGAGCCTACAATAATCCCCCAGTGAGATGTAAAGATTCCTACCCATATCCTACTTGTTTGCAGGAGATAAGATGGACAGTGCAAAGCAACAAATTTCCAGCTTAAAAAAGAAAAGAGTTGAAGAAAAACCAGGTGAAAAGAAAATGTGGAAAACATAATATACGTAAGAATGACCTTCCATAGCTACTGGCTGTGGAGTATAACCAGTAACAAACGCGAGCATCCGTGCAAATATGAATAGGTATTTCTAACATTACTTTGACATAACTCAAATTAAAGGTTGGCTGCAAAGGGTTTCTGTAAAAAAACACGCTAAAATATTCGTTTTATTAAATTTCTCAACGACAAGTTTTAATTTGTTTTGTCATTACCTTTCATTTTCTCTGACTCCCCAGGCTTTATCCTCCGTTTCCACTGTTCCAAACGTGCTTCACCTTGACTGGGTAGAGTTTCTGTAAAAACCATGCTAAAATTTTCATTCTATTAAATTTCTCAGTAACAAGTCTAAATTCGAGTTTCATCGATCAATACCTTTCATTTTCTCTGACCACCCCACCTGTGGCCTCTGTTTCCCTTTTTGCAAATGTGCTTGATCTTGACC